GCACCTGGCCCTGGCCGAGAGCCAGGGCTGGGTACAGTCCCTGCCAGGCCGCCTGGGGCCGGCTGCCGCTGGGCCAGGCCCGCAGCCCGGGTAGCCTCGGGCAGCTGCCCTGCCTCAGGTTAGGGTCACTGCGGACGGCAGGGGGGCGGGCTCAGAAGGAGACGGGGGACTGGGGTGCATTAGTATCAGCCCCCCAGACTTGGCAGGAAGGCCACCCCCCCCAGGGGCTGCTGGGAGCAGGGACTGGAATGATGGCCCCTGCATCCACGGGGGACCCCAAGGCTCCGAGAAGGGAGCATTGGCTTGCGGGGCACCTGGCCAGCAGGTGAGAGGTGCCCACTATCCTGTAGGCAGGGATGGCCCCACCTGCTAGGCGGGCCTCCCCCAGAACCCTCCTGCGCCCCTGCCCCACGCGGCCCAGGGGCTGGGGACACCAGGTAGGGTCCTTGGCCTGTGGTCGCTGGCACAGGTGAGAGGCCTGCCTGGCTGGCTCTGTGGGGTTGGGGCTGGCTGGATGCGGGGCACGATCCCACTGGTCCCCCACTTCCCCTGCAGGGTCTCGCCCTTCAGAGTGGACCCTGGGCTTGGCCAGCAGAGTTAGCCCCTCATGCTGTGTGCCTGGCCCGGGAGTGTGGCCTCTCCCCTCTTAGCAGTACGGGGTCTCCCCGGGGGCTGCAGGATGCTCCGGTGGAGGGACTGGCAGCACCTCCATCCTCAGGTCTCACCTGTTCTGCCCTGGACCCAGCAGGAGGGGCTCAGGCCTGGGGTGGGCACCCAGGCCCCAGGGACAACATGGGGGCACTGGCATGGTTTCAGGAAGAGGAGTTCGACTGCCTTGCAAGCCCCCGGGTGGGATGCCCAGGTGGGGCTGGACCGGTGCTGCCTGCCTGTAACCAGATGCCCCTCTAGCCACTGCCCTCAGGCAGGCCTCTCCTCCTCCCAGCAGCCCGTGTGCAGTGTTGCTATAGCGATGAGGAGGCAGCGAGGCCTGTTGCTGCAGTTCCCCTCGGGAGGTGCCCCATGGCAGGGCGGGTGTGGGGGGGGCTGGCTGGCGATGACCCCGGCCTCCGGAGTGGCCGCTTGCACACAGCCGCCCTCGCTCTGTGCGCCTGTCCCTAGCCCCGTGGGTGCCCACGATGTCGCCCTGGCCAGCCCTGGGCTGGATCCTGGCTCGGGGAGGGGGTGGAGGCTGGCACGGCTGGGGCGGGTGTTCCAGGCCACAGAGCTCTATTGTCAAAGGACAGTAAACACAGCAGCAGCCGCCCGCCCGGGGGTGGGCTCGCACCCTGGGCCGGACGGAGCGCCCGGGGAAGGGGTTCGGAAGCCTGTTTGGTCGGGGGGTGAGGATGGAGGAAACCTGGTGCTTCTGAGAAGAGCTGGGTGGGGGTGGGGCCAGGGCGTGCCCTGGGGCTGGGCAGGGGGTTCCTCCAAGCACAGCTGGCCTGAGACCCTCCTCCTCGCCTCCCCCTCTGAGAGCCTGTGCGGTGGGGGTGAGACACCGAACCCCTTCCACTGACCAGGTGACATGGAGCCGGGGGCCCTGGCAGTTCCCACGCTGAGTGGGTCCTGGCGGGCTCAGCCTGCTGCCCAGCCTTGGGTGGCAGTGCCATCCTAGGGACCTGGGCAGAGGCCCAGGGTGGGCAGGGCTGTTCCCGCCTGAGCCGAGCCGCCTGGGGTGAGGGGAAGGGGCCGGGCAGAGGAGATGTGGGGGGCTGGGGGCTGACAGAAGCTCAGGCCCCCCTCAAGCCTGGCCTCACCTCTCTAGGCCCTGCAGGTCGGGAAGAAGATGAGCTGGACGCATGCGTGGGTCAGAGTGGACCACAAGCTGGCTGTTTGGCCCCTGCTGGCCCTCAGTGTGCCTGGGGTGGGAGACCGCTTCTCACTTGGGCCAGACAGTACTCACTTGGGCCAGGCAGTACTCACTCTCTTGCCCTTCGAAAAGGCCTCTGAGGGCCTGGCAGGCCTGGCTCAGGGGCTGAGCATCGACCTCTGAACCAGGAGGTCTGGGTTCCGTTCCCGGTCGGGGCACAGGCCCGGGTTGCGGGCTCCATGGTCCCCAGTGTGGGGACGGGCAGGAGGCAGCTAGTGATCCTCTCTCCTCCGGAGCCAATGAAAACGTGTTTAAAAAAGAAAGAAAGGAAAGGCCTCTGAGGAAGGGCTGACGGTGGCCCCGGGGGCCGTGGAGGCTGGCGGTGCTGGCCCTTCGGGGAGGGCGTGCCTGGTGGGGCGGCCTCACGCCCTGCCCCTCGCAGTGGGTCCTGGCCTTCGAGATCTTCATCCCCCTGGTCCTCTTCTTCATCCTGCTGGGGCTGCGGCAGAAGAAGCCGACCATCTCTGTCAAAGAAGGTGAGGCCGCGGGTGGGCCCCGCACAGCTGGCGGGTGGACAGGCCGCCCTCCCCGCCCACACACGCATGTCCTGTGTGCACGCGACCACATTTGTGTGTCCCGGATCCCCCAGCCCCCCCCCCATCTGTGAGCCGCACCCCTGAGCGTCCCGGCCGCGCGCGTGGCTGGGCTCCCGGGGGATGTGGCCGGCCACGGCGCCGCGAGACGTCCTCACTGTTCTCTGTTCTGTTTTGCCCCTCCCCCCGCATGGTCTCTGTCCTCCTCCGCCGCCCGCATGCAGTCAGTAAGTGAGCGGCCGCCTCCTCCCTGGCCCAGGCGCAGCCGCAGGATGGTTTTGGGGGGCCTCCTGGTGCGGCTTGAGCACCCCCCACACCCGCTTGCATTAACAGCCTTTCCCAGACCTGCTGGGTCCTGCGGAGCCCCCGGCCCCCTGGCAGGGACCGCTGGCCCGGGGGAGGGGGAGGGGTGCCGGGTGCACAGGGCTGGGCCTCGGGGCCAAGCTCCCGGGGTTCCTCTCTCTCTCGGGGTGCCTGGTGCTGTCTTGCAGGGCTGGGGTGCTGGGGCTGGGGCGCCAGACATTCTCCCCTCAGACCCGTGTGGGCGCCTGCATTCCCTCTGCTAACCAGCTGGCCACAGAGGTCAGAGGTCGCTGCCCAGCAGGGGGCTCATCTGCTCCCCTGGGCTGTGTGGGCCACGCCTGTGTCCAGGGGGGAGGGGTCAGGGCGTTCGGGCCTTGGCTGGCCGAGGGAAGAAGGATGCTCTGGGAATTGTGGGGAAGGGGGTGGTCAGGTGCCCTTCGACCTCTGACCTGCTGGGTCATTTGCACCTGAACTCTCGGCCCTCTGTTGCCCGTCTGCCGCCTGAAGCCGCTCCTCCT